TTTGTGTCAGGAGATGTCCTTGAGTTCGGTGGGTGAGACAACAAAGGAAGCGTCAGATTCAGAGGGCATCAGCACTTCCTTTACTCAGTTCGAAGTCGAGATACCATTGGTGAATTACTTGAGCGGGCACTGTCTCTGAGAGCAGCATCAGTGCTCTAAGCAAATGGAACAGAGTCATGGCAGTAGGTAAGGCGCACTGCAAACTCGCTCATACACACTTGTTGCGCTCAGAAGTACAGAGCTAGTTCACACAGAGTTAGACTGCAGCGCGATGCACCTACCATTCGCGATTGAGCGACTAATTCGAAGTACGAGCTTCTACAATGGGATCGACCCAGTTCGACGATTTTACCGAAAAGTCACTTTGGGCCTTGTAGGTGGTCTTTGCATTTTTAGACCACACTTGTGGGGATGTGAAGCGCAGCAGACGTGTAGGCCATCCAAGTCACGGGCACCAGGGCTACAGGCCCGCGAAGTGGTAACCCCGAGGGGTATTTAGTGAAGGGATCGACCTAATTCGACGATCTCACCAGAAAGTCACTTTGGGCCTTGTAGGTGGTCTTTGCATTTTTAGACCACACTTGTGGGGATGTGAAGCGCAGCAGACGTGTGGGCCCTCCAAGTCACGGGCACCAAGGCTACGGGCCCGCGAAGTGGCCGAAGTTTCAACCCCGAGGGGTATGAAGGGTACATTTATCATATGAGTTCACTCTTATCATGCTTCGTGGATAGTGTCCGGAGAATTGCCACACATCGTGTAAGAGGCTCAATCGCCTGAGCGAGTCCACTTCTAATGCAGTGATACAGCAACGCTGTCCTGTAGATTAACAGACATAAACAAACAGATAAAGTAAGATTTAAAGTAAATTGAAAAATATATTTGCAGGTATCTGCCATTGGGATTGTTTCTAATCTTGTTTCATTTCTTGTAATGCTCCGTCATCGAACATTTAAAAGCTCGTTTGGACTACTTGGCACTTGCTATGCTCTGACAAACGCATTCATTCTGATAATTTTTGCTGTATGGGCTGCTCCGTGGACAATTTGGTAAGCTGCCGCTGACCAAAGAGATCGTATCCCAATTTCACTGCACAGCCTCATTTTCTACTATTAGGTCATCCCATTCAAAAGTGCCGATACATATAGAGGAATGGCAGAAAAGCAAAGGGGATAGAGCAGCGGGCTACTATACCATTTGGAAGCTAGTACCTTAAGCTGTGTATCTGTG